TACTTCACAGACTATATTGTAAAGTGGATTGACTGTATTTTGTGGGCGAAATGCGACAGCACAGTCGTGGGTTGTTTTTTGGAGGGATTATTAACCCAAGAAAGTGATCCACCAATCGACTAACAACCGGGTTCCTACTTACTGCTGGGTAAACGGAGGCATTTGGAGTAAGGAAGCTTGCCCGGGAATCAAACCTGGGGCCATCTTAATTTGTTGTAATTAAAGTTGTCTTTATTTTAACTAAAATTCAGTTGGTAGCGCTCTCGCCTCTGTTTCGTCCATAAGGTTGTGGGTTCTAACCCCCACCATGGAACTTATCGACCAGTGCAGTCAGCAGACACAGATTCCATCCTCGGATGAGATAGTAACCTGAGTTTCCCATTCAGATCGATATTAAATATCTCATGGTACTTTTTATTAATATTAATAATGATATCTTGTACTTGATATGTGCCTCTCATATTGAGAGGTTAGCTTAGTGTTTCTCAGCAATTTATTGCAAATATGACGAAAGCGTCTCCCAGTATCCTGGCCAACAATTCCCCAGATTGAAGGCCCTCACTTCACCTGTTTGTGGGAGCTTGCTGTGCACAGGTTGGCTACTGATTTCAGATACACAGTTACCACCACAACAACTTGTATTTATATAGCGGGGGGATGGAGGAGGTGACCGTGAGCACGGTCGAAGAGGAGGGTCTTCAGTCGTGATTTAAAAGAGAGGAAGGAGGGGGCAAGGCGGAGGAATTGGGTGGGAGATTTCCATAGATGCAGGGCGAATTGACAACACCACCACCACCAAATTGTGTTACAGTGCCTTTCACATCGGGAGGACGTCCCAAGGTTTTGGACCGTTCAGGGTTTGCACCCGAGCTGGGCATTGGATATAGCAGGTGGGGTGGGAGGGTGAAGATGACTGAAAGCATGGTTAGAGGAGGCTCTTAAAACAGGCCTTGAAGGAGGCAAGGGAAGAGGTGAGGCGAAGGGACTCCGGGATGCAGTTCCAGTGGGGGTAGATAGGCCGAAATCCGGCAAGTCAGGGGAGCGAATTAAAAGTGAAGGCGAGGATCTTGATCCCAGTTTTCTGGGGGACGTGAAGCCGGATGGGGATGATAGGCTTGTGGAGCCTAGAAAGCAATTCGCTGTGAAGCGTTTTGATGTCAAAGGTACTATACAAAATGCAAGGGTTATTTTTTATTTTTCATTTTAAAAGCACTTTTGTAAGACATGAAGTCTAACAAACATCCATCAGATTAACAAACATAGCTCAGTCAGTTGACTTGAATTCTTAGTGCAAATCCTGATGGATCCATTCAGCCGTTTCAAAGTCAATAAAATAAATGCCAAGTTTAAAAATAGAATACAATACAGTTTACAGTTATATGGCGCCTTTCACATCAGGAGCATGTCTTGAAGCACTTCACAGTATTTATTATAAAGGGTAACGACTGTATTTTGTAGCCAAATGCTACAAGTTACTTGTGCTAATGAATTCCAGAACCCTCTGAATGAAAAAAAATCCTTCCCCGATCCTCCCTGATTTCTTTGCTGAAAATCCTGATCAAGTCACCGGAGACAGGGAATCCTCCCACTCAGCTCTTGTTTACCCTGCAAACCAAAGCCCTAAAAGGTAGGGTGGTCCTCGCTGGACAAGCAGCGGGAAAGGCTTGCCACACAGCGCTCTCAATGGCTGGCTTTGTGGTTTTAGCTGCTTAGACTCCAGCAATTACCCCTGTGTCCCTCCCGGGAGAGAGAGAGAGAGAGCGCATTCCATTCCAACCATCTATCTCTGGGATTTCTACGTGTAGGTGGGATGCGTGGAATTCTCAGCTGAGGTTTGGAGACTCTTAAGTAACGGTGATGGATTTCTGCGTGTGTCAGGCACGTGGCTGACCAAAACAAAAAAATCCCTGATTCCCAACTAAAGGAAATGGTTTCCTGTGGCAAAACGAGACTTGCAGGAAACAGTGTTGTTTTTGATAAGATTAAGCTAAGTTAAGTTTAGGGACCGAGATTTTATTGGGTTTGGCATTTGAAATGATTCAGTTCAGTGGTGTGGAATATTTTCCCCGCAAGGGGAGAAAAAAGTCCCTTAAGTGGTTGCTCTTGTTCTGTATCAATTGCAGGGTTTTGACGATTGATATTTATGACAGTATAATTTGTGCTGTTGAGTTTTGCAATCTGCAAACAGAACAAATAGTTGTTTCAATCAACCTGACCAAATTATTATATAACGTCCACTTCAGTCGCTGTTCACAACCGATCCTTCTCCATTGAAGTGGCCATGATTTTCTAATTCCTGCCAAGCTTCTTCTATAACAATTCAGGTTTATTAATCTAATTACAGGTCGTATTAACACAGGGGTTAACTTACAGCCAACCCATATATGTCAGAAGCAGACAGATAATGATCATAATTATAATAATCCTTGCATTTGTTATAGCGCCTTATCACGTCATTGAGGTGTCCCGTAGCCCTTCACAGACTATACTGTAAAGTGGATTGACTGTATTTTGTGGGTTTAACACAGTAGACAGTTGCGCATAGCAGTGTCCCACAAACAGTCGTGGATTGAGTGATCAATTTTTTCGGGGAGGGATTATTATCCCCGGAACGCGATCCACCAATAACTGGGTTCCTAGTTACTGTTAAGTAACCAGAGGTGTATGGAGTAAGGAAACTTGCCTAAGGTTTCACCCCTCCCGGGAATCAAGCCCAGGTCTGCTCACTTGCAAGGCAAGTGCTCTTTGAAATAATTTCCGACATGAAAGGCGCTGCACAAATGTAATCTTGTTGTTGTAGTATAAGTGCAAGTTGCTCCTGATCTCTCTTTGGCTGAGCCTGTTGTGAAACTACAACTATTGATCTGCGGACCTTTTTTTGGTTTAAAAAAAGATCAATTTGTCTCCTTTTTAGATGAGAGTATATTTGCATTATCTGATTTTTATGGCTGTACCTGAACCTGAATGAACACAATAGGAGGTTGATGCAGGTGTGGAGGGGCAGAGAACTGAGGAATGGGAGGAAATAGTGCTCTGAGACGCTGTCCCACACAAATGCCGCTATATAAATGCAAGCTGTTGTCGTTGAAATTAAGTTTAAAAAAAAGTGCGGTCACTCAATCCACGACTGTTTTTGGGACACTGTTGTGCACAATTGGCAGCCGTGTTTCGCCCACAAAATACACAGTCACTACACTTTACAGTATATTTGGTGAAGCACTTTGAAACAGTGCAGGGATGTTAAGAGGCGCTGTATCAAATACAAGGATTATTATAAAAACTAAAAGTCTGAAAGCGATTAGATTCAGCGGCTCATGTGGAGAGAAATACCAGCACAGAGCTGATAGGCTGAGTAATGGCTGTCATAATGTTCGAGGCTTGTGCGTGTTATTTTTTAGGATTTAACAAAAGATGCCTTTATTAAACCTCAGAGATTATTAATGGTGGTGACATGGTGGGTTTAAGTGAAGTTTTAGAAGTAATAAAACACCATTAAGCCTTGAGCACCTCCTTCCCATTCTCCCAACTCCTATTATGTTCTCGCTGTGTATGTATGTCAACTTGCCATGTTCGTATAAATAGAAACGCTCCACTCTTATCTGTCCATTAAGAAGTCTGTGATGCCTCAGGTTTTCTCTATGACTATTGTAGCCACCTAATGTGCGACCTTCACGTCAGCCACTGAACAAGCCAACGGGTGGCACCATATATGGGTTTGCTTCAAGCTGCCGTCTGACAGTGGAACTCTTCAAATAAAATCTATTATATTGCAAATGCCAACACCACCACGAAGTAGATAGAACCTGACTGAATGCAATCCGGGTGAATGCTTACAGTAGTCCTGTAGCTTAGTAGTTAGTGAACTCGCCTCGCAAGCAATTGGTGGATCGCTTTTCCAGGGGTAATAATTCCTTCGAAAATATATATTAAAAAAAATTATTTGGTCACTCAATCCACAACTGTTTGTGGGACACTGCTGTGTGCAATTGGTTGCTGCGTTTCGCCCACAAAGTACAGTCAATTCACTTCACAGTAATTTCTGTGAAGCTCTTTGAGACATCAGGAAGACGTGATAAGGTGCGATATCAAATGGAAGGATTATTAGGATTATTGGCCTTTCTCTCTCTCGTTTCTCTTGCCCCCTCGCTAAGTAGGAACGCAGGTGTTAGTTGATTGGCTGATCACTTTCCTTGGCTAATGGTTTCTGTCAGTGTGGTTAGCAAGTTGTCTTGGCTTCTCAGATATTCTCTGACACTCCTGCTACCTGAAAGTGTGGTCACTGTGCGAGCAGCAGCTTCTACACTATACAATTACATATATAATATATATATATATATAGAATTCATGCATCCAGGTGTTCACATTGTGTGAATGGCCATCTTTGGGTACGAAGGGCAACCATTATAGTCTAAGCTGACACTGAAGCGCAATCCTAGGTGTGCACTGCATTATCAGAGGTGCCATCCTTTGGATGAGACGTTAAACCGAGATCCCGTCTGCCAGTTCAGGTGGACGATAAGATCCCGCAGGGAGTTTCCTGGCCGGGCACCTCACAGCTAAAAAATTGTTCATTCACTGCATGACTGTTTGTGAGAAACTGCTGTGCACTAATTGGTTGCCGTGTTCACCCACAAAATTCACTTTATAGCATATCCTTTGACATATCCATCTTACGTTAAAGGCGCTGTACCAATGGGAAAGATCCATGAAGTGCGCGACCAATTGTATCTGGGGTAGTGTCGGCCAGGGCACAGGGAGGGAGAAACTCCCTTCTCTTTTCCAGTAGTGCCGCGGGATCTTTGACGTCCACCAGAACAGACAGACGGGACCTTGGTTTAACATCTCATCCGAAGGACAGCGCCTCCACTAATGTACTGATCTGTGTCAGCCTGGACTATATGAGTTCTAAGTCCTCTAACAGTGACATTAGAAATTTTGGTTGACACAATCTCAGCTCAGGTTACTGTGTTCTGTATGTAAAAGTTTGTTCTACTTTTTAGGCCTATGGTGATGGCTATGGAGCCACCTATGAAGAGCACGGTTACGACACCTATGAAAACAACTACAGTAACCAAGGACAGAGGTAAGAATTCATTGATCTACGATGGCCCCGCAAACCAATTCAATCTCCGGAGGATTGAGATGGCATTTATAATTGTCATTTCAGCTGTCTAAAGGAGAGCAGCACTTTGCTGATCACAACTTTGTAAAGAAAAATAAACCACATCAGCTGGCCATTCAGGGCACTTTCTAGCAAGCTTCCAAATGCTTGTCCAGTACGGGTACCTTAACAGGCAGGGTGGCCCCAGCTGGACAAGCATTGGGAAGCTTGCCAAAAAGTGCCTTTGCTGGAAGGGTTAACAGGGGGGGGCCGAGTGTTTAGAATCTCTGCGCTTCCCCCCTTCCCCACCACCCCAGGAAACAGCACAGAATCAAGCCATTTACCCATCAAGACAAGCGCTGGTGTTTTTCTTCATATCAGCTACTGAGTTCACTCCCATTCTGCACCGTCTCCTCTTTTTCAAGCATCAACTGCAACAGCTTGCCATATTTTCCGGAGGGTAATAATCTCTTTCAAAAAAATGACTCGGTCACTCAATCCAAGACTGTGTGTGGGACACAGTTGTGTGCAATTTGCTGCACTTTACAGTATATCCTGTGAACCGCTTATCAACGACGTGACAAGACCCTATATCAAGGATTATTATTATTGCTTATTGGCTAGAAGCGTAGAGCTGTGCTTGAAAAAGAGGAATGTTTAATAGTGCGGGGGAGCTAGGGGAGAACGGAATTGGACTGTGGAGAGGGGCTGTGGCACTGTGTGGATAATAATAATAATAATAATCCTTGCATTTGATATAGCGCTTTTCACGTCTTCTAGACATCTCAAAGCGCTTCACAGAATAGACTGTAAAGTGAATTGACCGTATATTTATGGGCGAAACGGGGCAGCCAATTGCGCACAGCAAGTGTCCCACAAACAGTCGTGGATTGAAAATGACCAATTTATTATTGTTTTGGTTTTTGGAGGGATTATTATTAGGCTCTGTGTGGAGTAAGGAAACTTGCCCAAGGTTTCGCCCTCTGCCTGGAATTGAACCCAGGTGTCTCGCTTGCAAAGCGAGTGCTCTAACCACTGAGCAACAGGACTCCACAATTCAGGATGGGCTGAATGGCTTGTTTCTGTGCTGTAATGTTCTATGATTTTACAAAATTGTGTTTACTGGGGTGGGGGAGGGGGGGGCGCAGAGATTCTAAACACTCGGCCCCCCCCCCCCGTTAACCTTTCCAGCAAAGGCACTTTTTGGCAAGCTTCCCAATGCTTGTCCAGCTGGGGCCACTCTACCTGTTAAGGTACCTGTACTGGACAAGCATTTGGAAGCTTGCTAGAAAGTGCCCTGAATGGCCAGCTGATGTGGTTTAAGATGGTCACAACTCCGGCCGTTACACCAACACACATTCTGGGGTTCCCAAAGCCTTAGCCCCGCCAGACTCTCTGGAATAAGGTAGACAGGGTGAGTCTCTCTGGGGATAGAGTGCGCATTTCATTCCAGACAAAGCAAAATTTCCACGTGTTGGTCATGTGTTTGGAACTCTCAATTTGGTTTTGACAATCCTCTAGCGTGGTGTTGCGATTCATACCTAGTTGACCAAGTAAGTATAAATGCGTTTGCCTTATAAACCAAGTTATGGACCGTCTCAACAATGTTTTGTGATGCAGAATTCCACTCAACCATTCTCTGCGCAGATGCATTTATATTTGTGATTGCTTTCAATTTGGGCCCTTATTACGCATTTAACAGGAAGCCTTACTGCTCCCACTCTTTGGAACTCCATCCCACAGTCCCTCCCTTGCCTCCTTCAAGGCCTGTCTAAAGAACTTTACAACCACGTCTTAGGTCACACTTCTACCCCCACCCTCCTTGCCCTCCACCGCTCCTGATCACAACCCCCGGCTCAGGTCCAAATCCCTGACTGTCTTGGGACATTCTCCTGATGTGAAAGGACGCTGTGTAACTGTAATTGTTGTTATTGAAGCTAGACCTTCAAAACGTGGGGGAGAGGGGATTAGAAGTATGTGGGGCGGAGTAAGGAATGGGTAAATAGTCGTGGGGAGGATAAACACCGGCGAGGACTGTTTTGGCTGAGTGGCTTGTTCCGTGCTGTGCTTTGTAAATGTCTGTGAAGGGAAACATTGCACTGCGGTATTTGTTTAAGAACGAGTTGGTGCTTCTTTCAGCTGTTTATGAAACATGAGGTTGGAGATTCTGTGATTGCAGCACGACTTTGCACATTGGGTCCCATACTTTCTTTGGTAGTCTCAGCCGCTCATATGGTATCCTTTCTTTCTGTCACATAAAGTACTGTTTATACAGAACCTTGTGTTGTTTAAAGTCTACTCCTACTGGAAGCTGTTTCTTTCCTAAACTTTCTGCCTTTGTTCTCAAGGGCGAAAGTACATCAAGGTAAAATGCCTCTTCCCATTGAATTTGAGGATTGGTGAAAGTAGGGGTGAACATGCGACATTCATCGGAGCATAGGAACAGGAGTAGACCATTCAGCCCCTCGAGCCTGTTCCGCGATTCTATTAGACCATGGCTGATCTGTACCTCAGCTCCAATTACCCGCCTTTGCCTCCATATTCCTTGAAACCCTGACCTAACAAATATCTATCCATCTCAGTCTTGACATTATGAATGCATCCACAGCCTTTTGGGGGAGAGAGTTCCAGATTTCCACTACCTTTTGTGTGAAAACTGCCTCCTGATTTCCCTCCTAAATAGCCTGGCTCTGATTTTAAGATGATGCACTTGTTCTGGATTCCCCCCACCAGTGGAAATAGTCTCCCTGTAGCTACACCCTGTCGAATCCCTTTATTATTCTAAACATCAATCATAACTAAACAAATGTGACATTTTTCACATCGAATCTGTCACGAAACTTCAGAATGCAAATCCATAATTATCCCTTTTAGATCTGATCACACCCAACACAGCATCACAATGGCTTGGCCCAAATGATGACAGCAGCAATTTTCATTTATATAGTGCCCTTCGCCCAGGTCAGCTTCTCAGAGCGCTTACCAGTGCTGGACCTGCCGCTGTGCCGGGCAGAGAGGGAGGTGACCGCAGAGCAAAACCGGCTTTGCTCTCACCTCTCCCTCCTTAAGCTCCTCCAGCCTGGTTTCCGCCCTGACTGCCCACAGCACAGGGACACCGCTTGTCAAGGTCATAAATAACGTCCTCCCTCTCTGTGATCAGGGCTTCCTCTGCCTCCTTGTCCTTCTGGACCTCTCCACCTGATTCGAAACAGTCAACCACCCCATCCTCCTCCACCACCTTCCTCATCCACCTCAGCAGGACTGCACTCGCATGGTTTGAGTCCTATCTAACAAACCGCCGTCACTTTTGTCTCCTCAAATGGTTTCTCTTCCCACCCCCGCACCGTCACCTGTGGTGTACACCCAGGGCTCCAATCTTGGCCCCCTCCTCTTCCTCATCTATATGTTCCCTCTTGGCAATGTCATCCAAAGGCATTGAGTAAAATTCCACATGCGCATATGTGGATGATAAATAAATCTACTTCTCCTCCTTCAGCTTCGACTCCAGGTCCGACGATGTTCTCTCAACTCGTCTGGTGGACATCAGGGCCTGGATGAAGCAAAAAACGTCTTTAGAACACTTGTCTCGTAAGTGAGACGTCCGAGGTTTGATTCCCTGGCAGGGCGAAACCTTACTCCACACTCCTCTTTACTTAGCAGTAACTAGGAACCCTTCTCTTTGACCGTGCCTTCAGCTCCCCTCTCGACTCTCTTCCCCCTCCTCGCTCCCTCCCTTCCCTCCCCTCACCCTGACCATTTCCCCCCTCTTCGCTCCCTCCCTTCCCTCACCCTGACCATTTCCCCCCAATTGCTCGGGTCATGACCCAACTGTGCAGCGCCTTGGGACGTCCTCCTGACGTGAAAGGCGCTTTATAAATGGAATCTTGTTGTTGTTGTTGTTGTTGAACCCGGTTCTTAGTCGATTGGCAGATCGCTTTCCACCGGCAATAATCCCTCCCCTCCAAAATAATACAGTAATTTAAAATAATGGCGCAACTCAGTTCCACGACTGTTTGCAATTGACTGTCGTGTTTTGCCCACAAAATACACAGTTTACTTTGCAATATATTCTGTGAAGCGCTTTGAGGCGTATCAACAAAGTGATAAGGCACTATATCAAGTGCAAGGATTATTATTAAGAGCATTTAATATTCCCCCCCACCCGGATTTACAACCTCCTTGTGAAAATCGAACAGAGGCGGCAGACAGTGCTCCTGTCACACTGTACATGTAACCTTCTAAGTAGGCTCCTCAAACGACCTACTTTGTTCTGAAAGAGCATGCGGAGACATGAAAGGCAATCTCCTTTGTATGCGTGCAAACAGCAGCAAGTTATCAGGCTGAGCAGCAGCATAACTATCACAATGAAAGTTGTCCTTTTTATTCAGGGGAAAGAAAGCTCTCATTGCTGTCGGCTAAACCATCATGACTGAACATCTGAAATCTCTTGTCAGAGAGAGTAAAGAAGCAAGTCTTCATAATCCCTGGTATAACACTGCCGGCAATTTTATTTATCATCCTCTAATAGCGTGCCTTAAAATCTACTTACCTTACACACCACAATTTATTACAGGCAAAGCCAGACGTGGCAGCATTTCATAGCCATTGTATGATTCCTGTAGAGTCGCCTTTAATTAAGTGCCTATTGCTGATGAGTTAAAATTGGACGACCCCCCCCCCCCCCCCCTCCACCTTCTCTAAGTCGTGTTCCTGTCTCTCCTGTCTATTCTTATTAAACCCCTTTGGCAGTAGTGTTTCTCTTTGTCGATCACACATTTTTGTCTGTAATCCATATCACCTTAAGCCATTCTGTTTCATGTCGACTGAAGCTTTTCCTTCGGAAACAAGGTCAAAATGTAACTTTGGGATTGTATATGTAACTACGCTGCTGTTTTGCTCAGGGCTCAGTCACTGATGTTTGAGTGAATTCCTACAAAGTCGATTGGTGTACCTCAATGGCTGAGGACAGATTGCAGCACTCT